GCTTTTGCCCGAATTAGCAGGTTGATGCAATGGTTATTCTCAAAAGGTAGAATGACCCTAAGTATGTCTCTGTGAAAAAACCTGATGTGTGAAGTATTCCAACAGCTTTTCGGAGATGGGGGTTTCCATCAATTTCTGTTTCGAAGGCAAATGTGATTTCTGGAAATGTAAAGTCAAACTTCGTATAGATCCTATCTATCATATTTTCCTTGACAATGACAGATGCGTCATCCGCAGAGCGCAGCCATCGTTTTGAACTGGCGGTGGGAAGAGCCTAGAGCTTCCGCTGGTCTTTTGCTTATCACAATCAATATACTTAGGACAGTTCTTAGCAGACAGAGAACAAATTTGCCAAAAAACATTCCATTCGTAAGTAATTTATAGGGAAGACTAAGCGCGGCTTGCAACAGCACCTTCCACGGCACTCTCACGCAAGTGAGAGACACGCCGTCCAACCCCTGGTGTGTGAAACCCTGGTGTTTGTGTGTATGGGGGGGGATAGTGAGAAAATGTGAGCTCAAAATTGTTCAAATTAGGTAGACGTGAATCCCAGGTAGACGCCGTCTCTTTTGGACTATTGGTTGATCAATTAGATTATGAAAGCCTTTTGATCTTTTTATGGGTTGGTTTTTGTTTTGGAATTTTGTGTATATTTTGCATATGCAGTTTATTATGCTTGTTTCAAAGGCCGGCGTCCCAAAATATGTCTCGAACCCCGCTTTAAATAAAATTTGACGTCTAAAACGTGCTTGTTTCTCATACGTACTTTTAGTTGGATTTGGCAATGATCGCTTATAAGACCTTTCTACACATTATTTGTTTGAAGAACCATATTAATTGACCAAAAGGGATTGTGACAACCAACAAGTTGTCCAAGATTGTAATTAGGGTCATTGCTTTATGCAGGACAGTGGTAAGTTAATACTGCCGTAGGGTACTGACCTCCTCATGTACCAACATTCTATATTCAAATTAAAACGTGACCCGTGTTTATTTATTTGTCCGCCAAATTGCAAGCCATTTTTTAGAGCACATGTCGATATAAACGCCTTCGTGGCTGATTATGAATATGCATTGCAAGGACATCCAGCAATGGGAATTGTCCATCGACCTCTGTTTCGAAAGTAAATGTAATTTCTGGAAATATCGAGTTAATATTGGTATGGAGGAGATTCAACTGATCTTTCTTGACGATGACAAAAGTGGCATCTACGTATCGCAGCTAAAGTTTTGGGTTGACTGTGGGAAGGGCTATGCTCTCTTCTTTCTTCAGTAATGCTTCTGCCAGGAAACCGAATACTGGTGAACCCATGGGAGCACGTTTTAATTGCCGGTAGCATTGATTGGAGGCAAATTTTTCCTTATAATCATATTTCTTGGGATGCCTGTTTTTCAAAGATATGTTTCCGTATTTTAACGGTTTTGGTTATCTCCTTGGACAGCTGCATACGCGAAGGAATTTATGCCTGAATGGCACAAAACAACTGTACTTCACTAACGAAAGTCCTCCATTTTTCTGATCCTAAATAACTGGAAACTTCATTGTGAAATGTACTGTAAATCGTTCTTGTCCTTGTCTCATTTGCTCTTTTGATAAACAGACGAAAGTACTTTGAGCCAGTCGGTTCTAGACATTTGCTTGGGAATTTCTTTTGAATTCGTCCAAGATTCTTCAGTGTTGTTTAATTATTCTCGATAAATGACAGGTACTGTACTTCAACCGATGACTACCAGGAGGCCATTCGCTGAGAATTAGTATAGGGACAGCGCCTACAGTGATATCCCAATATTGTGGCGCAACTCGATATAACTGTTGTCTGTTTGTGATTTGGATCCTAGCAACAAGTATGTAGAGATTCGAATGTGCGACTAGTAAACCACTCCACAAAAAATCGCCCTTCAACCCAAATAAAGCATACGTTTGGGGAAATAACCTCAAGTGAATGAGTTCCCTAGTCGTACTCGAATTCATCGTGCTGAACCCTGGTCTTCCCGGAAGGATGCGCACCGAAATAGGCGACGGTAGCATTAGCCTTCTTAATAACAAAAACAGAAACAAATTTAGTCAATGCCCAGTAGCAAAGTTCAAACCGGTACTCTGTAAATTAGGACAAGTTATTTGAGCCCTACCAGTTTAATCTCTTTCTCCCTTCTTTCAATATTTAACTCTTTATTATTTAGCCACGAGGCTGTGTGCGGAGTTGCCCAGGGAACTGGTGGTCGAAGCACACATGGTGGAAAATAATGCGGGAAAATACTTGTACACGTAAATGCAGTCTTTCAAAATGACAATTTGGGTGAATTTCACTTGAGAAGATTTTGCAAGCACCGACGATGTATGCGTTTTCCCAGACTTACAGTATATGCGATCGCCCATACCTGAGAACATACCTGCTGTGAAGTAAAAGCAGAAGCGTACATGAAAACATCCTCCTGACAAGTCACTACTCTAAGAAAAATAAACTTCGACAATGGAGTTCACCGTACAATCGACGTCACGTGCACACATCAAGGCACACAGCCTCGGGCAGGTGGCTAAAGCGATCAGCACCTTAGCGTCATCTGGCTCACAACGGCCGTGATAGACCAAAAGCACTGGTACATACATAATTAATGTTTGGCGTGAGGTGTTGGCCCAACCATTCTTTTCTTCCAAATTTTCCCATTTAACTCCCGAGAAAGGAAACAAGACCGACTTCAAGCATTAATTAGAAAAAGTGAACTGAAGCATTTGGGGAAGCCCATTAATCTCGTCATTTGCGTGTGATTTCGCGACGGCTCCCCTTTTAACTACGAAAAGTGTCCATATAGTCGGGATAGTCACAAGATGAAAATTAGGTAAAGTTTGCGCGTAAGCAGGACTTGCGTGACTAATCAAAAATGTCCTCAGACCCTGCCACCGACCACATTTTATTTGTTTCTGCGCAACACAGTTTTTATTAAGTGCAGAGGGTATCTTAATCTCTTTCAAACTTTTGTGGCTCCAGAGAATCTGCCCAAAGTAGACGCTGTGAAGAGTCACCCGACATCGGATGGAGACGGCATTAAGGTCCCTTAATTGCATTATCCTTCATTATACCAATGAAGTCCTTGTCTCTTTCTACAGGAAGTATGGACGCAAATAGATCAGGCAGGACGGCAGGTTGACAGCGATAGCAAAATCATGTTTGCCGATACACGTGATAAAGCAAGTTTTAAGAAAATATACCAGAAACTTAAACGCGACCGTTAGACCGATAAATTTTCCGTCTCACGCTTGGCCAGTTACAACCAGGCGACAGATGCACCTCGAGCGAAGATGTTCACGCTAGTGTTGTTTTGCAACGGTTGACGAAATATGAACGTGCGTTGCGCGGAGTTCAGTCAGGCATTCGATTGTCCGTATAACTCACGTACGCTAGGGTGATGTTAACTGACACTGAGATTCGCCCTCTGTTTTAATCGTGTTGCTATTTCGATGTTGTTTGGGTGTTTAAAAAAGTGGCTTTGGAATGGCATAGCGGGTGTACCTCCCGACAAATTAAGAAAAGGCACTGTGAATTAATGTGGCAGCTGCCGCTACTTGTCGAACCACATAGACATTATACCAAATTAATTAGAAAATTTCTTTTGATATGAGGAGATCATAATTAAGTCTGAAGATCTCAAAATACCAGTTGACGAGCCCGTCTGCCTTAGGAGAAACAACTGAAATCTTCCATGGTAACTTCGTCAGGACTTTGCTGCACAGCGAGCTCATAAGTCTTCATAACCAGTAACTGAAGAATATTGAACGTGTTAGAAGCACGGGAAAGGATGTGCCTTTCTACAACTAGATCTTAAGGCATTCACTGCGGGCCAGGGGGTGTGGAGTTGGCCGCCAAGGTGCTGGCTCTGCCGCACCATCCACCTGCGCCCTCCCCCGTCTCCGGTCTTCTTGACTCTGTCCTGACACCGGGCTGAGGTGGGGGAGGAGAGAGTGCGGTAGATGCAGGGCAAGTTTACTGGCACTACAAACCCCGCGCAAGTCACCGTCCCCGCTCCCACCGCCTGTTGTGGGGCGCACGGTAGACATCGTCGAAAACGCTGTCGAACTTTCGTGTGTGTGTGTGTGTTTGTGTGTGTCAAACGGGGTGTAGGGGTGTCGGCGGTGGGTTCACATGACGGTCGTAGTGGTCGCTCACTTGCTTGCAGGTGAGACTACGCCTAGCGTCCACTTTCTGGCACTCAACTCTCACCTGTGGCTCCACGCAGTTGGGCTCTGCTCAGCGGCCACACCCCGGGCAACCGCCTCGATCGGCTGGCTAAAACAGGTGAGGGAACCTTGTGCGCGCTGTGCCGCGTGCACAGGGTGTTGCGGACTCCGCCGGATGGATGGTCGGATGGAACCTTGCGTCGGCACCCTCATGACGAAGTTCGTCTGGCACGCTTGTGGACAGCCGGTGACGGGATGGATCTCCACATCGACATCGCCTTGATGCGCCCACCTACGCCGTCGGAGACCGCGGCTTACGGCTAATTCGAGTCGTTCTCCACTACACCAAGAAGTCGTGGCCCCATAGTAGAGTTCGGCCGTGCCACAACTGCACATGGCAGCCCTATTCAGGGGTGGCACTGCCTGCGCCCTCGAGGGCAAGGGCCTAGAAAAGGTGGCCTAAAAATTGCTGGGTACCACGCCGTCTCCAGGCTAGCCAGGGTCGCAGATGTCTAAAAATGGTTGAAACAATCAAAATCGAAACAAAAATAGCAATAACAACAACAACAACAACAACCATACTCGTTCTCTTTGTCCTACCTCTTCTTCCTCTTCTTCTGCCTATTCTTTTGCCGTAACCATCGTGCATCTATACAAGCGAAAAGGGAACCGCCAAGTCTGCGACAATCACCGCGGCATCTCCCTGCTAAACATCGCCGGGAAGATCTTCGTTCGCATCCTTCTCAACCGCCCCAACAACCATCTGGAACAGGGCCTTCTGCCGGAAAGCCAATTCGGCTTCCGTCGTCATCGCGGGACCACGGATATGATCTTCGCCGCCCGTCAACTTCAGGAGAAGTGTCAGGAGATGCGGACCTACCTGTACTCTACCTTCGTGGACCTGACGAAAGCCTTCGACACGGTGAATCGTGAAGGACTGTGGAAGATCATGCAGAAATTCGGCTGTCCGGAGCAATTCACTCAGATGGTGCGTCAGCTGCACGACGGTATGATGGCGCGAGTCACGGACAACGGAGCTGTCTCAAAGGCATTCGCAGTGACCAATGGAGTGAAGCAGGGCTGCGTACTGGCGCCTACCCTCTTCAGTCTTATGTTCTCTGCCATGTGGATGGACGCCTACCGCGACGAACGCCCTGGAATCCGCATCGCCTATAGAACGGACGGTCATCTCCTGAATCACCGGCGCATGAACTTCCAATCGCGTGTATCCACAGCCACCGTGCACGAACTCCTCTTCGCCGACGACTGCGCCCTGAATACCACCTCGGAAGAGGAGATGCAACGGAGCATGGACCTATTCTCCGCCGCCTGCGAGAACTTTGGGCTGGTTATCAACACGCAGAAGACGGTGATGATGCATCAGCCGTCACCCAACTCAGCCACAGCCCCCAACGCGCCGCCGCAAATCAGCGTGAATGGGACCCAACTGCAAGTGGTGGAGAACTTCCCGTACCTGGGCAGTACTCTCTCCCGCAACACCAAGATTGATGACGAAGTCGCCAACAGGATCTCCAAAAGCCAGTCAAGGCTTTGGTCGCCTCCAAAGCACAGTTTGGAATCGTCGTGGTTTCCAACTGAGCACGAAGCTGAAGATGTACAAGGCCGTCATCCTGCCGACACAACTGTATGGAGCGGAGACTTGGACGGTGTACGCAAAGCAGGCACGTCGTCTGAACCACTTCCACCTCAGTTGTCTTCGTCGCATCCTGAGGCTGAAGTGGCAGGATCGAATCCCCGACACTGATGTGCTGGAACGGACAGGAATCCTCAGCATCTACGCCATACTGAGGCAAATTCAGCTGCGCTGGAGCGGCCACCTGGTGCGCATGGATGACGAGCGACTACCCAAACGACTCTTCTACGGAGACGTCGCGACGGGTTCTCGCCGTCAAGGAGGCCAGATTCGCCGTTACAAGGATACCCTGAAGTCCTCCCTGAAATGCCTGCAAATCAACCCCACCAACTGGGAGGAGCTCGCACTCGATCGACCGGCCTGGAGGAGGACAGTGAAGACAGGCGCTGCGATCTACGAAGCCAACCGCATCGCTGCCGCCAAAGCGAAACGTGAAGCCCGCAAATCACAACTTCGCCCAGTAAGCAACGCCGCCGCACAACCGCTTCCAACGTGTCCTCGATGTCAACGGACATTCCGGGCTCGAATCGGACTTGTTGGACATCTTCGGATTAACTGCGCCTCTCGAACGGCACCAACCATCGTTCCCCCGCCTGCCTCTTCCTCCTCCTCCTCTCCGCCGCCAACTAACCCTGACAATTCTCCTGACCCATCACTTCCACCATCCTCCTCCTTCTCATCCTCCTCCTCCTCCTCCTCGCCCACTGCTCCAACAGCGGCCGCTCAGGCGACTGTCCCGCGCACAGCAACCGACACTACCACCACCTCCCCCGAATCCAGGGATGAGAATCAGGACTACACCTGCCCTCACTGCGACCGTACCTTCACCTCACACATCGGCCTGGTAGGTCACTTGCGAATCCATCGCACAGAGACTGACGGACTAGTGTCTGGAGCACCAACCTATACCCACCACACTCGACTCAGCTGCACACATTGCCCTCGCACTTTCAGGCATCTCATGGGCCTATTCGGCCACATGCGCTTTCACGACGACCTGCGGTAGACAACCGCTGGCTACACCACACACTCACACACTCCCTACCAGACCGCAAGTACCCAACTGCCACCTCGCACGCAAGTGGGAAGTGTGCATCTCGACTTGGTCCCCACCGCTGCTGAAGCTGTGGGGCGCACGGTGGACATCGTCGAAATCGACGGTCAAACTGTCATGTGTCAAACACGACTAGAACAATCATCAGATTGCACTAAAGAGCATGTTCCGCGCTTGTTAATGAAACGCATGTTCCGTCCATTTTTTCCGATGAGGTAAGACCTGGTGTACGGGATGTTGGCAGAGGTATGTTATTTGGGTTTGGACTGTGGTTTTCTGCCGCGTGTTTTTGCGGAGGCGCATATCGTCTAAAAGGTTCTTGCGATGGTTTAATGCTGTTGGACAATGTGGGCAAGTGAGGGAGGGACGATTATTTATGTTGGACTTCCTGGTTCTGGATCGCCGGTGTCAGTGGGATGGATTCGCAAGCGACCGACTTGACCGGTCCGTTACATAAGTGTGCAGAGGAAGTTTGGTCAGGGTGGGTTTGCGTATGTCGAGCTGGCGGTGATGGCGATACTTCTGATGCTCTCAACTCTGATAGCGGTAAATTTAGTAGGGCTGGTGTTAGGCGTGTTTTAAATGCAAAATGTGGATTTTTCATGTTGACATTAGGGTTGTTGTAGATTGGCATGTGATCGACAAACCCTGTGCCGTGTTTGAATTTCCTGAAATGTTGTTGTCACGTGACGCGCATGTGGTAGGCGTACGTAAGGGTCAAAGCAGTGGTTCAAAGGTTCCAGTGTGCGGATTCGAAAGTGATCGAACATTATAATGCATAATGCGAAGGTGCGATCGCAGTAGAAAGAGGTTCAGATAAGGTCCGCATTGCTGGTGAGGGAGACGGTGCTGGCAGTTTTTAGCGATGCATCATGAATTTTCTTACGCATGGCGGTGGTGTATGAAGCTACTGCGATAGGAGGAGGATCTGCCCCATAATAGAACACTGGGTCTAGATACGTCTGTATGCCGAATGTTCGTTGGAGTTTTGTATATTATTTAAGCTGTTAGACTGTAGACTTTTGGGGCGAAACATTTGGCGCTTGCAAACCACCACTATTTTGTTTTGTGGTGACTAATCATTTGGCTCCAAAAATTGCTGATACAATTTTACAGTATCTCTCAAGGCCTGCCGATCCTGAGAGAGGTCCTTCTAGGCCTCCGGAATTATTAACAGGTGTTTCAGCTACGTCTTCGAAGTGGCCTTTAAACGTCTTTCTTGTCCGCCTTGTCGACAAACATAAGAAGCAACGGTGCTTTAAAATGTACAGTTTGGCTGGCTTTCGTCATCCATGCTTAGACGCAGCCGCTCCATCGCAGTTTTCTCCGCCTCCACACGCAGAGAAATTAAACACCTTGGTTCGTTCGCGGGTCTTCGTGTCGGAAATTCCATCTTTTTGCGTCAGGTATAGTATTCCCTAGAGGCAGGTGAAATGAAGTTGGTTGAGTTTCCGCGCATGATCCTTGTAGACTATTTAGGTTTTAAACCCACAAAATAGCCCTTTCTGCACATCAAGAGTTTTTGTTGAGGTAAAAGGAAGCGGTGGTTCCAGACCGAGTTCTGCTTTCTGCCAAATCAAGGGCTGTATGTGGTTTCGCACAAGCAAATATGATCCTAATCTCCGGTGGATCATCCCAGGACCTATATGCTGCATTAACGTGTTTATCTCCAAAATATGACAGTGTAGTATAAAGTGCTCCGTGTTAATTTTTTGTGCATTCAGGTAAAATAGTGCCGTTTCGATAATGTCAAAGATCTCCCCAATCAGTTAATTTATCATCTAGGCTGCACCTATGACAGTATGCCCCGTGGTCCTCAACGCGGTAGTGTACCCATGTCACCTTTGGTCCGCCTATCACCCCTGTCAAAACATTGTTTAACCGTGCATGTTTTGGTCCTGACGTGATGACAGTCTGACGTCAATTAAACCTGTCCGTTTTGCTGCCTAGTTGCAAGTTTAAAACATCCCGACGAGCTTCCCAACCTGTCCCTGGGAGTAACAACATCAACGGATGGTACTGACTTTTGGGTTGCTTGAAGGCACTGTTTTCTAAACCATTTGTGCGTTGCATAAATGCAGTAAGAGTTGTCCAAATAAATGTGTCTTCCTAAATGCTAATTAAGGAAGCTTCGCGTTCGGAGATGTACTCGTCCGCCGTGTGTCTTGGGACTAAGTCTCAACCCCCTTCAGCAGCCACTCAGTAACTAGTTTTCTGCATAGAGCAGCATTACCGACAAAAGTGAAGGGGACTTAAATGACCATTTTCGACTTATTGGTGGTCATCAGCCCGAAATGACCAACCCCATATTCTTGCAACCCCTATAATATTTGTCTCTGAACGGCAGCTATCGGGATTCTGGATTGAGTTTCTAGGTATTTCGGGTAAAATGTAACCCTCAAGGCGGTTGGCAAGCGCCCAGTTCCATTGCTAATATGCGTGAATGCAGCCGACTAACAACAGAGCCCGTGGTTAAACGGTTAGAAAGCTGCACTTCTAACTAATTGCGGGTTCGTGCCTTAGGAGTTACAAGAACTTGCGTTCTGGTATCGTAAACACACGGCTAATGGGCCAAAAATGGTGATCCCAGTCTCCGTCATCTTTATCGTTAACGCTGTTCCGCCTATTTATGCGCCGTTGTGCTGCTGCAGGTGAGTCTTACTTGGGAACCCCAAGGCACAACGGGACGAGTGAATTCCGTAGCGCGATCGATGATTGCCCCGT